CTCCACATCACTAGAGGTGGGATTCAGCCAGCTTGGACCAGTTCAGGTGAACCAGTAGTGGCAACCTGCAGGTGGGCCCGCCTCCTCGCACAGGTGCAATCCTGCTCTATATCGCTGTTTTTGATGCTAAATCAGGGGTGAAATGCTCCAGGCTCGGGTGAGTAGGTAGTAATGGTGGCAGGCAGTTTGGAGAACTGGTAGCAAAAATCCCTGCCCCCGCCCCCCATGCCCAGCTGAGCCACGCGATCATCAGAGCCTTTTTTTCCTTTTAAATGGCTCTGACCAGCCAAACTCTGACAATCCGAGCTCTCAGCTTGGATTGTCAGACCCATTTAAAAGAAAAAAGTTTCTCCCCCCCCTCCCAGCCTCCAGCTTGCTTACCTTAGTTGCTGGTCACAACATGCTTGCTGTAATACCTGCAATCCATTGCATCAGCAAGCAACTGAATCTCCCTGCCTGCAATCAAGCTCATCAGTGAGCAGCTCTATCTGCAACTTTAAGACTTGTGGACTTCAACTCCCAGCAAAGCTGGCTGAGGAATTCTGGGAGTTGAAGTCCACAAGTCTTAAAGTTGCCAAGGTTGGAGACCCCTGTTCTATTGGGTAAGTTTTTTTCCCCCTTTGGGAGCTTTAAAAAAAATAGTTAATTGAGTTTTTTTTTTAGTTGTTCTTTTTTTAGACCTAGCCATTTAAAGTTTAGGAAGTTTTAAATTTAGCTGCTTTTATATAAAAATAAAAATAAAATAAAATACTATTTAATAATAATAATAATAATTTTATTTCTATACCGCCCTTCTCCCGAAGGACTCAGGGCAGTGTACAGCCAATTTAAAAACACAAGACACAACAATGATTAAAAATTAAAATAATTAAATAAATTTGGCCGGATTAAAACCCCAAAAATTTAAAATACCCCAATTAAAATTATTATGTTGATAGCCCGGCCTGGCGGAACAAAAGGGTCTTCAATGCGCAACGAAACACCCGGAGGTCGGAGATCTTACGTATTTCCGGGGGCAGTTCATTCCACAGGGCTGGGGCTCCCACAGAGAAGGCCCTCCCCCTGGGTGTCGCCAGCCGACATAACTTGGCTGATGGCACCCTGAGGAGACCCTCTCTGTGGGATCGGACTGGTCGGTGGGAGGCTATTGGTGGCAGAAGACGGTCTCGAAGGTACCCAGGTCCTATACCATGGAGCGCTTTAAAGGTGGTAACCAACACCTTGAATCGCACCCGGAAGACCACTGGGAGCCAGTGCAGCTCACGCAGGAGGGGTGTCACGCGGGCACAACGGGTTGCACCCATAACCACCCGCGCGGCCGCATTCTGGACCAGTTGGAGCCTCTGAGTGCTCTTCAAGGGGAGCCCCATGTAGACAGCATTGCAATAATCCAGCCGGGAGGTGACAAGGGCATGAGTGACCGTGCGCAAGGCATCCCAGTCCAGAAAGGGCTGCAACTGGCGGATCAGGCGAACCTGATAAAAGGCCCCCCTGGCCACGGCCGTCATGTGCTCTTCTAAAGACAGCCGTGCATCCAGGAGGACACCCAGATTGCGAGCCCTCTCTGTGGGGGGCAAAGATTCACCCCCAATAGTCAGTGATGGCACCTGCTGACTATATCGGGACACCGGCAGCCACAGCCACTCGGTCTTGGACAGGTTGAGTCTGAGCCTGTTCCTCCCCATCCAGACCCGCACGGCCTCCAGCAGCGAGACATCACATCAAGGGCATCGTTGGGGTGGTCTGGGGTGGAGATGTACAGATGAGTATCATCAGCGTACAGATGACACTTCACCCCAAAACCACGGATGATCTCACCCAGCGGCTTCACATAAATGTTGAACAGAAGGGGAGAGAGGACTGACCCTTGTGGCACTCCCCATGCGAGATGCCTCGAGGTCGACCTCTGCCCCCCTGCCAACACGAACTGCGAGCGGTCGGAGAGGGAGGAGGAGAACCACTGCAGAACGGTGCCCCCTATTCCTAACCCCCTCAATTGCTGCAGCATGATACCATGGTCGATGGTATCAAAAGCCGCTGAGAGATCTAATAGACTAGGACAGAGGAGTAACCCCTGTCCCGAGCCCTCCAGAGATCATCCACCAATGCGACCAATGCCATTTCTGTGCTGTGCCCCTGCCTGAAGCTGGACTGGCATGCGTCTAGATAGATAGCTTCATCCAGGTGCCTGGGCAGTTGTCATGCCACCACACTCTCGACAACCTTCACCACAAAGCGAAGGTTGGAGACCGGACGATAGTTAGCTAATTCAGCTGGGTCCAGAGAGGGCTTCTTGAGGAGGGGCCTCACCACTGCCTCTTTCAAGATGGTGGGAAAGGCACCCTCACTCAGAGAAGCAGTTATAATCCCCTGGAGCCAGCCTCGTGTAACCTCTTGGGAGGCCAGTACCAACCAGGAGGGACACGGGTCCAATAAACATGTGGCGGCACTAATCCCTCCCAGAACCCTGTCCACATCCTCAGGAGCCACAGGATCAAACTCCTCCCAGATAATATTCTCAAGACCTGCCCCTGTCTCCTCCCCTGGACTCATCCAATCGGAGTCCAAGCCATCCCGAATCCGAGCGACTTTATCTTGCAGGAATTGCACAAAATCCTCAGTTCGGCCCTGCAAGGGATCTTCCTGCACTCCTCCCCCCCCCCGAAGAAGGGAGTGGGTCACCCTAAACAGGGCGGCTGGGCGGTTCTCTGCAGATGCGATAAGAGCGGAAAAATTGTTAGATTTCGCCGCTTTTATTGCCACTAGGTAGGTCTTGATATAAGACCTCACCTGTGTCTGGTCGGAATCGGATTGACTAGTCCTCCAAATGCTCTCTAGGCGTCTTTTCCGATGCTTCATCTCTCTCAGCTCCTCAGAGAACCAAGGATCCAACTGAGATCGGCATCGGGTCAGAGGCCGCAAAGGCACAACGCGGTCCAAAGCTCTGGCGGCCGCACTCTCCCAGGCGGCCACCAGCTCTTCAGTCGAGTCGTGTGTTAGAATCTCAGGAAACGGCCCAAGCTCCATCAGGAACCTTTCGGGGTCCATCAGGCGCCTGGGATGGAACCATTTGGTCGGTTCCATCTCCCTGCGGTGGGGGAAAGCAGTAGGAAAGTCTAAGTGAAGGAGCGAATGATCTGTCCATGACAAGGGTTTGATGTCTAGGTCCCCTCTACCAAGATCATTCAACCACTGACCAGAGACAAAAATCAGGTCCAGAGTGTGTCCCCCTATGTGAGTCGGGCCTTGAACTAACTGGGTCAGGTCCATGGCCGTCATGGAAGCCATGAACTCCCAAGCCATCTCTGACGCCTCACCCGCAGATGGAAGGTTGAAATCCCCCATAACAATCAGTCTGGGGGTATCAACCGCCACCCCGGCAATGACGTTGAGTAGCTCGGGCAGGGTGGCTGCCACGTGGCAGGGAGCCAGGTACGTAGTCAGCAAACCCATCTGCACCCCACGGCCCCACTTCACAAAGAGGGACTCACATCTGGCTATCTGAGGAACAGTGGTCTCCCTCGGACAAAGACTCTCCCTAATAATTACCGCCACTCCCCCACCCCTCCCCTGGGCCCTTGGCTGATGAAATAAACAGAAACCTGGTGGCCACATCTCAACAAGGGGAACTCCCCCCTCTTGGCCCAACCATTACACAACATCAGCCGCGGACCCTGGGCCTGAGACTCTGCACAACCCAGGACATGAGTCGCGCATTGGGGGCTGGGGTGCGTAATTGCTTGTAAACAGCTGATGAAATGCACAGAAACCTGGTGGGCACATCTCAACGAGGGGAACCCCCCCTCTTGGCCCAACCAGGTCTCCATAATACCTGCCAGGTCCGCACCCCTCTAAAATAAGATCACAGATGAGGGGGGCTTTAATAACAACCGACCTGGCATTACACAACATCAGCCGCGGACCCTGGGCCTGAGACTCTGCACAACCCAGGACACGAGTCGCGCATTGGGGGCCGGGGTGCGTAATTGCTCGTAAACAGCGTGTGCGCACCCTCAGCACATGATATGGCCCTCTGCGCCCATCATACCTGCCCCTCCCACTCATTGTTTCAATTACACAGCCCTTCCTATCGTCCCCTGATCTCCGGTTAAATTTCCTTTCACGACCCCTCCGTTGCAGCCAATTTGTGCAGCTTTCTGAGATTTAGTGTGTTTCTGTAGTGTTTCACTCTAACTACACAAACACAGAAAATCTCACAAAGCTGTATGTGGAATTTTGTGTGTGTAAAGTGTGAAAGTTGGTTTTTTGGGCTTTTTGTGGCTGTGTGAGGTTCCTGCTTATTGTGGGGCCATTTTGGGTCTAGCACAGCTGCTTTTACATTGTGGGTGAGCCAGTTGTGTTGTGTTGTGTTTGGTAGATTAAAAAAGGGCAAAGAAGTGACATTGACTTGGCCACGCCCACCCAGTCACCTTACCTCCAAGCCCCGCCCACTAATTAAGCCCCACCCACAGAACTGGTAGCAAAAAAAAATTTAGATTTCACCCTGTGCTAAATGCAGGTGTGGATGGCGTGTGCGAGCAAATTGCCGTGTTTTGTGATACCGCACACATCCGTACACATGCATGAGCAAAGCGAGGATGCGTGCGTGTGCGCTCACATTTCTGGTGCTGGGTGAACCAGTTGCTACAGTACGTGATGTACCTCTGCACATCACCTAGGCTTTCATACCTAAGAGACGATTAGAACTCATGGTTTCCCAGCTTCCAGACCTACATCCAACCTGTTACACCATAGCGGTCACAAATTATCAGATATTACAAATATTAGTAGGATATTAGTAGGGAATTTCCTGGACACTTTGATAATGGTTAAGGAAAATATTGGGAGGAGTTTAAACAGTAAATGCAACACAATGTTAATGCCTTAACTTTTTTCCTAACAACATCTTGAAACCAAAATAAGATGCAATACAGGAGACCCAAACACTTGCAAAATAAGAAAGGATGGAAGTCACAGGCTGGGCTTCATTCAAGTTGTTAGGTAAAGTTCAATTTTATTTCTTTGTTAGTTGTTCCTTTGTATTCAGATCAGGCCTCAAAGTAATGATATAGCATTTGGGGGAAAAGATACAACCCAGTAATCCAGCTGCTGAAGCCAAGATGGAAAAGATCTCCACAGCCACCATGTACTTCCCCTTGGTGCTGAGATAGGTGGGAACAAATGACACCCAAACACTGCAAAACACCAACATGCTGAAGGTGATAAATTTGGCTTCATTGAAGCTGTCAGGTAAATTCCTAGCTAAGAAAGCCACTGTAAAGCTGACAGCAGTCAAGAACCCCATAAAGCCAAGGACAGTATAAAACATAGTGGTTGAACCTTCATTACATTGCAGGACCATTTCTTCAGCCATGGAGTGCATGTCAGAATCTGGGAAGGGAGGAGAAATTGCGAGCCACGTCACACAAATGCAGAATTGTATCAGGGAGCAAGTTAGGACAATAGAGATAGCCGGTCCTTTCCCCACCCATTTCCTTATTGTGGAACCTGGCTTGGTGGCCAGGAAAGCAAGAACAACAATGGTTGTTTTCCCCAGTATACAAGAAAGAGCTACAGAGAACATGGTGCCAAATGCAGTTTGTCGCATGAGACATTTCACTTGGTCAGGTTGCCCAATGAAGAGCAGAGTGCAGAGGAAGGAGAGGAGGAGAGCGACGAGAAGAATATAGGTGAGGTTCCTGTTGTTGGCTTTGACAATGGGTGTGTCCCGGTGTTTAATGAAGATCCCCAGTACCAAAATTGACATGACAGAAAAGAAGACAGCAATCATTGCCAAAGAACTACCCAAAGGATCTTGATAAGACAAGTAAGTTATCCTTTTAGGAAAGCAACTATCCTGTTCTTTATTTGGGTATTGATTTTCTGGACATGAGAAACAATCGTCCAAGTCTAGGGAAAAAGAAATAAAAACGAAACAGGTCATAAAACATTATCGATTTTTAAGCATGAAACATTAACCACAGACTAGATACACCAAGCTACTTTAAATTACATGGATTTAAGGTTTTTTCCCTTAATGTAAGATATAATACAATCTATATATAATCTGCTGTAGTGCCCACTTTCAGTAAGACCCGAGCTTTACATCTACATCTATTGTTAATTACTTCATGCAACAGACAGAATGATTGACCTTGAGAGACAGAACTACAACAGAAATAATAATAATAACATAAATAACTGGGAAAAGTCACAAAATATCACAACCGTCAAAACTACACGGCTATGGATGAAACATGTAACAGTGATACCCGTTGTCATCAGGGCACTTGGTACCATATCCAAGAATTTTGCAAAACGCATCAAGAAACGGCAGCTTCCTGCTGTAGTGCCAGCTAGTCAGAACAACATACATTTTAAGAAGATATTTAGTTAATACCTAGGACACTGGCAGCAATCTGTATCAAGCATCAGAGCCAGTCAGGGATATTTGTTATACATTTTTAAATGTTCAGTTGACTGAGTTTCATGTTTAATGAATAAAAGAGATAATAATAATTGTTGAAAATGAAGATCTTGAAGATGGAGAAAATGAGGTAAAGATCTTGTGGGACTTTCAAATACAGACAGATCATCATTTGGAGCACAACACGCCAGATATCATGGTTGTCAAGGGCCAAAGCATGCAATTTATTGATATCACTGTACCAGGAGACCCCAGAGTCGAAGAAAAAGAACTGGAAAAAAATCATGAAATATTGCGACCTGGCCATCGAAACGACACGGCTATGGATGAAACATGTAACAGTGATACCCATTGTCATCGGGCACTTGGTACCATGTCCAAGAATTTTACAAAACACATCAAGAAACTGTAGCTTCCTGCAATAACACCAGTGGAACTGCAAAAAACTGTGCTACTCGGAACATCGTATATTTTAAGAAGATACTTGGTTGATACCTAGGACGCTGGCTGCAACCTCTATCAACTATTAGCACCAGTCTAATATACAAATGTGTATTTGTGACACATTTTTAAATGTTCGGTTGACTGAATTTCATGTTTGATGAATATAATGATGATAATGATGATGATGATGATGATGATGATGATGATGATGATGATGATGATCATCATCATCATCATCATCATCATCATTTGTCTAGCAAACGTCTCCTACAGGGCAGAGGTGGTATTCAGCAGGTTCTGACCAGTTCTGGCGGTCTAGCGGAAATTTTGAGTAGTTCGGAGAACTGGTAAATACCACCTCTGACTGGCCCCTCCACCATCTATTCTCTGCCTCCTGAGTCCCAGCTGATTGGGAGAAAATGGGGATTTTGCAATAACCTTCCCCTGCCATGCCCACCAAGCCATGCCCACATAACTGGTAGTAAAAATTGTTGAATCCCACCACTGCTACAGGGCCTTCCTGATTCTCATAAAAATAAATGGAGGGAGGAGAGATGCATCTTTAGACCAAAAATATAGAAGTTCTGTCCTGGACACATTTTTCTTTTATCTAACTATTGCCTTGGTAGTGGCTCATCCCTGGCACCCTAAGGGTCAATCCTTCTTCCCATCACATCTCCCATTGAGACTGCTGTTGAAGACCATCCAAAACCTGCAACTGGTCCAGACTACAGAAGAAAAGCATTTCTGGACACCCTATGGTTCATCTGAGTTATATTACTTCTGTGTGAACTACACTGGCAAGGTGGCACAGTGGTTAGAGTGCAGTACTGCAGCTACTTCAGCTGACTGCTAGTTCAGCAGATCAGCAGATCAAATCTCACCGGCTCAGGGTTGACTCAGCCTTCCATCCTTCCGAGGTGGGTAAAATGAGGACCCAGATTGTTGGGGGCAATATGCTATTTAGTATACTGTCTTTGGTGCAAGCTGCCCAGAGTCCTCGGAGAGTGGGCGGCATATAAATATTACAAATAAATAAATAAATAAATACGCTGATCCCAGTCATTTCAACATTCAATTCAAGCTGCTGGTTGTTTATGTTTAAAGCCCTGTATCAACCAGTGCGTTTGTGGGGACTGGCTCTCCACTCAACCATTGAGGTAGGATCAGTGGTGGGATTCAGTCAGTTCTTTCTGGATCAGGTGAACCGGTAGCAGTGACTGTGGGAGGCTCCACCCGCCCAGACATAATGCATGAGCACTGTACATGTGCGCACTCACATTTGTGAACTGCTAGGTAAGGTAAGTGAATCCCACCTCTGGGTAGGATGAAGATTGGTCTGGCACTTGATAGGAAATTGGTCACCCTACAAAGCTTGTAATTAAACTCCCAGGCTTAAGAAAGCAGATGCATAAAAGCAGTTAACAAGGAATTTTCAAAACTGATTTAAAAGGAAGTCTGCAAATATACTGCCCCTTTTAAAATGCTGACTATGGTTTGACCAGGACGCGGTGGCTCAGTGGCTAAGACACTGAGCTTGTCGATCAAAAGGTAGACAGTTCAGCAGTTTGACTCCCTAGTGCCACATAATGGGTTGAGCTCCCGTTACTTGTCCCAGCTTCTGCCAACCTAGCAGTTTGAAAGCACATTAAAAATGCAAATAGAAAAATAGGGACCACCTTTGGTGGGAAGGTAACAGCATTCCCTGTGTCTTTGGCATTTAGTACATGACCATGGAGATATCTTCGGACAGCACTGGCTCTTCAGCTTTGAAATGGAGATAAGCACCGCCCCCTAGAGTTGGAACGACTAGCAAATATGTGCGAGGGGAACCTTTACCTTTACCTATGGTTTGAGTAAGATAGCAATTCTCCTACCTACCAGAGCTCTAAACCTTCTGAACTGCTTTTGTGGTCTCATCACCAGGACCATAAGTCTGGAACAGTTGTGGGAGATCTCAAGTCCTCTTATTGTCTGAAGAGGAATTTTTTTTTTGGAAAAGGTTTACTTGCCTAGCTCTTTATTCTGGCACAGTCAGCTCTGCTTTTCTTCTGTTTACCATTTCTTCCCTGGAAGCCACAGTAATTAGTCCAAATTTTTCATTACTAAATTTTACAATCTTAGGATGTTCAGGCACTGCAACATTTTGAGGCATTGCATCATTAATTGAAAATTCAGTCCCATTTATATTTATTTAAACATTAATATCTCAATATATTCCTTTGCTTACCTCTTTGGTCAGCTATCTTCCCTTCTGGACACCGTCTGCAGTCATAGCAGCAGGATAATTTCCCTTCCACTTTTATCTTACTATGGCCCAGAGGACATTTCTTGTTACAGATGGAAAGAGGCAATGTCTATTGGATAAATTAAATCAGAATTCTGCTACATGACAAATTTATTTTGGGCAATTGTTCTTTTCATCAGTTAGACGAGAGGTCAGCAACCTGCAGCTCTGGAGCCACATGTGGCTCTTTCACCCCTCTGCTGCAGCTCCTTGTCACTCAAAATATGCATCACAACCGCCAATGTGCAACATCCACTGGCACATGATTTATTGATCTTTTCAAGTAGGCCAACCGTGGATAAATCCAAGAAAATAAAAATTTCAGAAGAAAACAGAATGTTTAGTTTAACTACATATGCTAGTTTTGTGGCCGGTCAAGAAATAGTCAGGGACAGGAAGGGGTTTGTGGCTCCCGGTGTTTCCTTTTCTGTGGGAAACGGGTCCAAATGGCTTTTCAAGTGTTTAAAGTTGCAGACCCCTGAATACCCAAACTCCTCATTTTGAATCCAAACTTCGGTGTTCCAAATTTCTCTCTGGTTTAAATTCCCCACTGATCCTCTCAACTACTCATAGCTCATACCTAGTAGATTAATTGTATGATTGTGCCCAATATAGTAGTCCTCTGAGGAAATCAGTAGCAGAGATTTTAATTCTGGAACTTTTGGAGCACAGATTCCTTAAGATTCCAATTTTGTGTTGGATTCCTAGTCTTCTTTGAACTCTTTCTGTACTTGGTACAGTTCATATATAACCCATGAAAATGTTGGCAGAGGTGCCAACTTTATACAGTAATTGGAGCCCATTTTTATTAAGCTTATCCTATTTGTATATGCCTGATATGGAACAAGCTACACTTAAAGTCAGTTTGGGAATATCAGAAGCTATGAACTATGCTCTGATTTATACAGTATAATAAGCAGTTTATGTGAGCATTAATGCATTTTTGGCTATATTCTTACTTCAAATATGTTATTATTGTATACACTTCCACATTTACAGTATGTTCACACTGCACATAAGGAAAAAAAGTACATACACTGGTTAGTAGCTGAAAGATTTAATAAAAAGTGAAAATTGAGCACACCTGGTTAAAATTAACTTAATCCCACAAACCAGTAGATGAATGATTTCATAATAGTGAAAAAAATATGTCACACCTGATTAAACATGTGGGGCCAAACAATGTCCTTGGTGGAAATGGTGAGAAGATTGTCTGTGTGAGCCATAGGGTCAATTTTTCCAACTTTAGCTCTTAGAAATGACTTATTTGGGAATGTCACCCAATTGTAAACATCAAATCCAGTTACTAATTCTCCATTGGAGCCAAAAGAAATATGTTCTCCAGCAGTGTTATTAAAGGTGACATGCTGCAAAAAATGGTGGAGCTGAAAAGAAAGGAAGGAAGGAAGGAAGGAGGGAAGGAGGGAGGGAGGGAGGGAGGAGAGAGAGAGAGAGAGAGAGAGAGAGAGAGAGAGAGAGAGAGAGAGATAGATAATAGAATTCTTTGAAGGGATTAGCAAATCTCAGTTTTTATTCCTTTCAATTTGATTTAAGGTCAATGGAAATTTGCATTTTCATCACTCTACTCCATTTAAAATGGGTAGAGAAATATGTTCTTTCCCACATGCATTTTCTACCTTATTGCCTAACTTTATTTTCAGCTGAAACATTTTCAGATGAGAACTCCATAACAAAATTGAGAAAGAGAAATCTGATACATCCCACTGTCTTGATAAATTGAACTATCTTGGAATTAGGAATTCACTTTGCTCCCATAAAATGTAGATAAGATTAAAAACTTCAACATGGAGAATTCTAGGCCATTTGTTCCAAACAAAGAAGGTCTTTAAAATCTTGAAAAGATAATAAAAAAGAACATTTGTTTCATATGGTTCAATTGAACTAAAGATATTCTCATTTCCCCAAAATTTGTTTTTCCTCTCTTTTCATTTTGCTTTATGGTGAGACTATTATGATGAGAGAATGGAAGTAGGAAAAGTATTAAAACTTTCATGGACACCAGGAAGATCACAGTAGCTAAGAGATTGTACTAAACATCAGGACAATCTAAACTGAATCTGCACATTTAATTTACATTTCTCTAGGAATAAAAGTGCATGGGTTCATTTATAACAGGGGAAAGTTGTTTCCCCTGAATCTTAGTCTCTCTGAAATTAAGACAGTGAGAAATAATGCTTCTACCCAAGTACCTTTGAAAGTTTTACATGTCAACCTGACAAATATCATGCATTAAATACATACATCCACACAAACCATTTCAGACCTTTGGCGAGTTCCCCATGTTCCCATTATAGAATATTCTTTATTGGCCAAGTGTGACTGGAATTTGTCTCTGGTGAATAAACTCTCAGTGTACATACAAGGTGTATAATAAAGTGTCCCAAAGATGCTTTTTCCAAAGGCATCTGGACTTTGTTTTTCCTTGTTTCGTTACTCATCCAAGAAGTTTCTTCAGTTCTGACTGAATGGTGGAGGATGGAAGGATTTATAGTTTTGTAATCATTTGGTCATTAGCACTAATTCTGAGAGACGTTGAGTAGGGGTGGAGTTTCCACTTTCCTTTGCTACCGGTTCGCAATGGGAGCGTGCATGCGCATGCACTCACTTTGCTTGTGCATGCGCAGAGCATCCGTGATGATGTCCGGGCAGGTGGGCGGAGCCTCCTGACACTGCTACTACCGGTTTGCAAGATCCGGAGTGAACCAGAGGCAACTCACCACTGATGTTGAGGTGGTTTATCTGTGCCCTCAGGGTCACATGAATAGTGCAAATGGGTGGGAAGCTGTCTTGGATCTGCTGAAAAGTCTATGATTGTAAGCAAAATGTCTCCAAGGAAAAACAAAGTCCAGTTGCCCTTGGAAAAAGCAACTTTGGGACAACTATGACCTGGATGACTGAGAATCTCCATAGACATTAAGCAACAAATTGCTAAATCATAAATCATAAGATACAATTATAATTCATAAGATAGAAACAACGAAGTGATAGTCACATGATACTAAGGAGTAGGAGTAGGTAATAGGAAAAGATAATGGGAGTAGGTAATAGAAAGATGATAGTAATATTGTCCTACTACATAGTTAGATGTCTTTAGGCATAAGACTGTACTATGTGAATTTTATGTTTAAGCAGAGTGATGATATGGGGAAAAAAACTTGTTTTCATGTATGATTGTTTTGGCATGCAATGCCCTATAGTGATGTCCTGAGGGGAGAAGATAAAACAGTTTATGTACAGGGTAAACTGGATATATTCTTAGCCCTCTTTCTGGCTTGTGCCATATACAGGTCCTCAATGAAAGGCAGGCTGATAATTAGAGATAGAGATGATAGATAGATAGATAGATAGATAGATAGATAGATAGATAGATAGAT